CGTAAGAATTCCCTCCCTAAAAATGACGGGGACGGAGTTCAGCCATTTGTGTCTGACTCATGGCTGTGGAGGACGTGCCATAGGTATGCCAGCTTCACAGTAAGCCCTCCCCACAAGAGACTTAGCAGACTTGGGGGTTGCACCCCCCCCCCCCCCCAACCATGGGGGGTTGTTTTCTTGAGAAATCTAGTGGTTCGAAGGAGGTGTTGGAAACCACGGAGTATTCACCGGTAAGACTGTACAAACCAGAACGGCAGAAGCACCACAAAATGGTTATTTTTGGATTTGTTAGAGTAGTTCTTAGTTATCTGACTTCACTAACAGACTTTGGCCATTTATTTGGTTTGGGGGCTTTGTTGTGTAAGAATATAGTCAGACTTATTTTTAAGATTCTATGGGTCAAGACTTTATTTAAAGTTCTTTTTACCAGCGAAGTGTAAAATACCGTGGGGAAGAGGCAGAGAATGATCCTTATAATTTAAGTGTAAGATAAACCTGTTCCACACTAGTAATTACTAAAAAAGAAAAACACGCTGCCGGAACATATGTATTTGATATCATCGCATCAAATACTTAAAGGGAAAAGCCTCCTCTTTCCCCCTCAGACATTTTACAAAATAGCCTCCATTAAAAATAACTGACATTTCTGTACTAGTCCAGAGATGAGTTGGCACACCACGTTACTCAGTCAGTTTGACATTAATCAGGTAGCAGTTTAAAGATAAAAATCTCCCTGGCTTGTCTGTGTTGCTTATCAGGTAATTTAATTATAGGAATTAAAAAAAAATTTTTTTTTTTTTTTTAAGCTGAGGTGCTCTGTTAGTACATTAAATGAAAGGGAGTCCCCAGACAGAGTGCATGAACACAAGGAAGTTTACTTCAACACTCAATACTGTAATTTAAGATTTTATTAATAAACATCAGTAGGCACAGGTATAAACTTACTGGTGGTACAGAAGTTAGCAAACTGTTAGTTAGCAGTGTGCCAGCAGTGTTACTTTAAGAATCGCTTTATGATTCTCTGCTAAAATCAATGGATACTTCTGTTCCTGTAGTAATCTGGCACTTCTGGTGCCCCCAGAAGTGAAGTCCCTCATCTCGAGTGACCTGTAAATCAAATTTATTAAAGATAGTGGGAAGAATGTGAGGATTTTGCTGGAAAGGGCGAACTCCAGTTTCAACTTTCTTACTCCCTTCTGCTTCCACCCCATCTTCCCAGGTTCTGTATTCCAGTTCGGAAGTAATACTTCTAATTTCAACTTCCCCAATAACCCAGGAGTATTTACTTTTGGTGCAAACCTTCCTGCACCAGCAGCACCGGCACAGCCTGCTGGCTCTTCGGGATTTTCGTTCAGCCAGCCTCCAGCATTTATAGTGGGGTAAGAGACCGTATCAGAATTTCGCTTGAGCTTCGGGTAGTATCAGTGGACAGTGTTCAGCCTCTACTGCTGTTAAATCATGAGGTGTTCAGATGAACCCTGGAGTCTGAAACTAAACTGGGCATCCTTCTGTGTACTAGCCTGACGGGCTAACTAAGCAACGGTATCTTTAAAGGAGCCTAGCTGTCAGAAATATCACCCCTCAACGTATGTGCAGTTGTCTTGTTCTTGAAAGGTAAAATCCGTATCTAGCCATTATGCTGCTACTTACCTTCTGAATAAGAGAGATTTAATTGCTTTTGGTTTCTGGAACTCTCTTCCTCCTGTTCATCATATGCCATTTGTTGCCAGCTGGTAACTAGTGAGACAAGACTATGAAACAGTTGTTCTGGAATATCTACTCAGTGCTGCTACTGAATTTTCAGCTACACTGTCCTAAACTCTGAACTACTAATTTCTTTTGATAGGACTAATGGGAAAAATGTTTTCTCTGCCTCTGGATCTTCAGTTTCTGGTCGGAAGATAAAGACTGCAGTTAGACGTAGAAAATAATCGCCCGATTGGTAAAGCAACTTTGGAAGCAGCTACTACCCTGCATTGTTCAGTTGTTGGGATCGTACCTCATGCTGGGTTAGCTGAAGTCAGATCTGCCTAAAGGAATATCAAACTCTGCTGCCCTTCCCTTCCCTCTCCTGTTAGGTTGTTTTTTTTTTTTGTTGTTTATTTTTTTTTTGGTAACGAATAGAGTTGGCAACGGGGCCGTTCTCAAGCAAAACTATTTTAGACTCCAGCAAGTTCCTCCTTTCACTGACTCGGCGTGGTCTGGCTGTAGCCGTGAGTAGAGCCTGCGCAGTGAATGGCTTGTACAATACCTCTTCATCTGCACCACCATGTGCGCTCATCTGCGTTTACTGACGCCTTGAAATTGTAATTATATCAGCGAGGGATGCTGTATAGAGTAGAGAATGTTGATAACGGATGATTTCTATGCTGAGTTTGTGCTGGTGTATGTGTGAAGTGAGTGAGTTTGGGTGTATCGTGCACTAAAATTTTCTGATAGAGGAAGACTGATTACAGGATGATCTGTGCTAAGGACTTGTTAGATCTGTAGTTCTTCATTTAATAATTATATGCTATTTCTATATTTTCATTCTTACAGCCCTTTATCACCTGTCTCGCCTTTGTTATTTTATTATGAAACATGTGTAAATACAATTTTGTTTCTCTATGTACTTTTTTGGCATAACAAATCTGTGAAATTGAAATTTTAATTTTGTGTGTTACGGCCATTTTTGTTTAGTATTGTCTCAGATTTTATGTAAATCCCATTATTCAAAGTTGCCTAAATCCATTTAGAAAATCTTTAAAATTGGGAATTCTTAAAGTAAGTTTATTGGCTTTTCTGATCCATTTTTGTTTGGACCAAAAACCAGTATTGTACAAAGTATTAAGTATATATTTTTATATTTACTGAAATGGACTGTGGTGACTTTGGATAATAAGGAAAAGTTTAATATTAAAGCCATGTTTATTACAGTATAATTAACATGTTAAACCATGGGATAAATGCCATCAATAAAAACTATGAAATATTGTCTGGCAGTTGTCAACTCTCCACGACGGCACCGGCACCTGTAACTGTACGAGATGAGCGACATCCCGCGCTTCCCCCAACCTCTGCTTTCTGACAGTGACACGGATGCTCATTTTAGAGGATCTTCAATTGGTTAGAGGCTCCCTGATACAAAGGAGAGTTTTATTGTAGACTTCACCTTGGAGCCATATGTCTGTGTCAGGTGTCTGGCTGCAAGGGCTGCAGTTAATTTTTATAGACCTATTAAAAAAAAAAAAAAGCTAATTTTACAAAATTCACCACCATTCTAACTGAAGAGGGAGAAGTACACCCAGTTGTAAATGAGTAATTTGGGTTTTTTTCCACTTCTCTAGCAGTTGGAGGGCACTAAACATTTTTCTGGTAAAAGGAAAAGAAATGCTCTTGTGTGTCGGGGGGGGGGCTACCGCTAGAACTGAAGACGGGTGTAATTGCACAGGCTTTAAATGTCTCCAGAGGCTTTGCTGGGGTTTGCTGCTTACCCTGCTGCTGCTCAGCACCTGCACAGCTCCGGGCCTTACACCGTCAGCAGCCGTGCGGACCAGGCCTGACAGGAGGACAAAGGCTAACTGCTGGTTTTGTGGGAGCCTTACGTTTTCTGTAAGTAGAAAAGACCCAGCAACTTGACTTTAAGCTGCTGTTCAGTCACCTCCTGCCACTGTAGCTGTGGAGAGATTAGATGCAATTATGTATTTCAGATATCTAAATCTGAAAAATGCCGTAAATTTCACTTCTTTTCCTTAGCTCTATCACCTGCCAAGCACTTACCCTACAAACAGAAGAAAGCTGCAGCCTCCATGCAACTTGCCTAAGAGACGAGCTGGAAGCTAGCACTGGCCACGGCCTAACGTGCCTGTGTTTCCATGGACAGGCCCCCCCTGCTTGCACTGTAATTATTTTCATTACCTGCTGGGGAGGGGGTGGTGTTTTTCTGCAGGCTGGGAGAGACGTTCCCTTAACACCTGACTGGGTAGCAATGATGTTTTTGCCAAGTCTGGCTTTTCCCTTCCTCCCCCCCCCATCCTGAATCCTAGTTTCTAGGTCACAGCTACTGTAAATAGAACAAAAGTTCTTTTTGTGTTCGTACAGAATTTGTGAATAGGCAACACTCACCCTGGAAGGGATTTCAGCTAGTTCTGGCAGCTTTAGCGTCTGTCAGGCTCATTGCCATGCCTCCACTTTCATTTCAATGCTTAAGTCATGAGTGCAATTCTCAGAAAGAACACTTAAGTGGTATCTCTAAGTTCTGTTTCAGCTAAACATCTTCAAGTGATCTGACAACCTCAGAAACATGCTCCATTCAGGCCTGCTTACTGCCACCCCCTACTTTGAAATAAAAATGTCTGTGACGTGTCAGGAACATTGCTCTAGTGCTAACGGTACATTTAAGGTGCCAAAGTCAATTTGTTACCAAAACATTAGTGTAAAACACCACTAACCCTCAAAATGTTGAGGTATTTTGATACAGATACACTTTCTGATTATGCAGAGACTTTAAAATCAGGTTTTTAACTGACATGATTTTTTTTTTACTTCAGAAATATCTAAAAAGGTAGCGACTTCATTCTGGAGCAGAAACTGATGGGAAAATGTTGTTCTCCCACTATTAAGCAGTGGATCTGGTCCTGAAACAGCATTGCAGAGGAAGGTCAGAACACAGGCCATGCACAGAGCGTTCTACTCGTACACAGAAGAACACCAGCTGTCAAACTGAAATACTGCAGAATATTAACATGTCACTGATTGAGTTATTTCACAGGAAGACAAGAGAGAGAACCAAGCTCTCAAACTTTTCTCTTGTCAGCCAAACCCTTGTCCAAAACTGAAGGCAGGGTGAGAACTTCAGCCACTGAGGGGCAAGTTACACCCAGGGGAGCAACACACGAAAACTGGGCTCTGGGAGAATTGCAAACTTACTCAAATTTTAATACAACATTAACATTGTTGCTTATATTCCTTTTCCCAGGATACTACTAACATAAGAATAAACAAATTACCAAAGCTCTGTATTCATGCAAAATTAGGCTTCTTTATTCAGTATTTAAGTTATTCTGAATATACAAACAATTAGCCAGAATTATAAAGTGAAAATAACTGGTATTTGTACTTCTGTAGATTTACACCCATAACACATTTCGGTTAATGTTTTCTGCATGCTCCTGAAACAGTCAGTTGTTTTGCCTGGTATTATAATGCAAGAGACAAGTGCTTTCACTCCAAACAGAAGCAAAAAAGTTACCTTTCGTTAGCACGATCTGTACTGTTCATAGCTCCAAAATTATTTGCACACACCAACTCACTAACACTGCAGCGTAACACACCCTTCCCAGAGAAAAAGCAGATATTATTTCACCTCTTTATTAGCTTTGACATGTGAAATAAGTGACAATGCTTGAGATAATCATGCAAAAAATTTTCACATCAGTGTTCTGATAAAATACTTAGAGGCGAGGGAATATGCTGTGTGAAGCAATAATACACTGACATGATGACCATGGTTAGAGACACGATAACCAACTGCTCATCTCTCTCTCCACACCCATGACAACTTAATTTTAACATGATTTGCCTTCCTGTTTAATACTGCAGTTCTCTTCCCCTCAGAGTTTATCATATGACTTAAACAACTGCTTGGAAAACAACTTGATTTTCTAGTTACCTGCCAACATCCAGAACTGTAGGAGCGACACCTCTTTCAAGGTGGAGTATTTTTCAGTGTCTGCTTTCCACAGACTGACGAAAGGAACAGCTCCTTTCTGCAGCTAACACAGCCACTTTCTCATCAACCAGAGGTTAATACTTCCAGATTTAGTATGTATTGTTTCTCCCAAACTTCTTTGGCATTTATGAAAACTCCAACACTTTGAAGGTAGCTGCTGGCATCATACGGGAGCAAAACATTTTCTTTAGCTTCTGAATCAGTTCCCATTTCATTTGGGCAAAAGATTCTGACAGACACCTCAATTTCAGTTTTGGGGTAGGTCTTTGTTCACTGGGGGTGGGAGGGGATGTTCAAAATGAGTCTGGAAATCTCATCTTTCGGTATCATCTGACTCCATTTCTTCTTACCACAATAGTTCCTGCTACAATATCGTAGGCTGTTCTGTTGTGCTGGAAAAACAGCAGTGTAATGAATGCGGGAAAAAATGAAGCAATAGAAAAATTCTTGATCAAAGCTCGTATTGTGGACCTGAAACGAGATGATAATATTCAGTGCCTCACTTTCACTTTTCTGCTTATATTAGTAGTTCGTTTCCTTTCAAGTTTAGTGCCTCAGTTTTGCACAGCACAAAAACCAATCTCCGGAGTTCAGAGGAGACTGTTTTACCACCTAACCTGAAAAACATTCACAGGATTGAGTAACTGTGATTTCATTCTTAGATCACAAAAATCTAACAACAGCTCTTGCAATCTAATTGTTGCAAAGGTCAATACTGAAAATAAATGGTGTACTTCCTTCCGGATCACACACTCTCCACGCTACTCACCCGAAAGCGGTGCGGCTGAGCTACGAGCACTTACGTTGTCATGCTGACATTAGAGGACGGGATGACTAAGACACGGCTGGGCGCAATAAGGACAGATGTGTCACATGTCACAACTCGCAGTCCAAGCAAGAATTTCCCTGGGGTTGCTCCACCTGCTCCCCAAATACAGATTATCTGTAAAAGAAAAGTAGTTTTAATTCCACACACCACCAGGTTGTTGGTTGGTGTAGCAAGTGTCGTTTTCGTCAAAATTACGTGAATGTCTCAAGCTTAAACATAATGCAAAGTACTGTAAAGAGGATTCACTTTATATACTAATGGTGACAAAAATCTTTTAAACGTTTATTCAACAACTGACAACTATTAATTATAAAAGTTAACGTTTATGAATAGTTACCTCATAGAAGCAGACTAATAACCTGTAGATGAGAGCTACTATCATCATTTTCTGCAAATCCTCCATGGATGTATCTTCATCTATTTCTTCTATTATGTAATGCATGGCAAATTTAGAGATGTCCCTGTACAAAAGGAGACTGAACTTTAACACCATCCTTCTCCCGATACCAATGTTACCCCTTTAATACTAGAATTCGCTCCTTCAGTTCTGGTATTAGTAAAAGAACAAAAGTTCCTTGGCTTTTCTGATACTAAACAAGCCACTAAAACTCAGAGCACCGGGTCTCCCTCTGAGTCGCTGCCCAGCTTGGTTTGTCTGTGTCATTAAGAAAAGCTCATTCTTTATTACCACTTTTGCAGAACAGTGTCCTTGAGTAGAGAGCTGCTGAATCGTTCTGAAAGTTCTCACCCTAGTTAGGGGATCACACGCAGAACCTCTTGTTTATCTCCCAACTCTGTATGAATGGAAGGCATCCAAGTTTCTTCCTTAACAGAAGCTCTCGAGGAAAAGGAAAAGGCAGCACTCCTCTCCATAAATGCAAGGGAGAAATTGCAAGTCTCCCTAAGCAAGCAAGGGAGACCTGCCTCCCTCTGCGTGAGCCACTGTAGTCTTCACTGCTCACCAGTAAAGCAGGCATCATGGCATGCAAGAGGAAGTTTTAAAGCAATCGAAACCTTTAGCTTTTTACCCCAAAGCAGCTATGCAAAACATCCATTTTGAGTCAACTGCGCATTTTCACATGATAAACTCTACAGATTTAACAGTCTTATCTGATAGCTGGAATGGCCATACACATATGAAACATATTAGGCAAGGACTTCGCACTCACACATCTAAGTGAGAACTACTACTCACAAAGAAATGTGCAGTCCCACTTCAAAACAGCCCATCCATATTTGTACTACTTGCCCTCCTCTTTATTCAGACTTAAGGATCAAAAAAGATAAGGAATTAAAAAAAATAAGTGTGGCAGAACCTGCGTTTCCCTTCAATACCACCTTGGCCAGAAGTCTGTCTTGAGCCTGCCGGGATGTATTTTTTTTTTGTATTTTTTTTTCATCCCAACTCCTCAGCCTGACCTCAAGCACACCACATCTCACAAGCAAAAAAAACCCCAGAATGTTTCTCTGGAGTTACCCATAAGCAACTTATTGGCTCTTGCAAAAGTAGCAATATTGAATATACTGTAAAATAACTGGAAAAGGTTCCCTCTCTTTCTGTCACCTTCACTACTTTTCAGAAGCAACAGTTGTTCCCCATCTTTCCGAGTGCTTCGTTTTATATCAATCTCAGCCTACTAAAACCAAAATGGAAATACAAGCTGTCAGGTTAGAGTTGGAGGTTTTGGCAACTAAACAGAACTGAGACTTTAGCATTTTAATTGCATGCTTATCTGAACAAAAACCACTGACCATTTACATTGACAAATTTACTGTTTTAGATTTTACCCTCTTCCACACACCTTTCAAGCAGCCGTTTAAGGTGTCCGGAAGATGTTATCTCCATAATATCAGTTTACGGTCACTCAGCATTTGGAAGGCTCTTTAGCAGAAAACTCCGATTGTGTTTGTACAGTAATGGAATTACTGACTACACCAAGGTCTCATTTAATCGGACCGAAATATTTGATTACACCAACCCAAAGCAGACGAACTAAATGAGCTACGGAATAAGATATCTACAGTTACAGAAGAAACAGTCTTTGAGGTAAATGATTACCTTCGAGTCTAAAAATGTGAAACGAAGAATCTCTGTCTAGTGTACAGTTGATATACATGATGCATAATCATACCTTTTAAGAAACCCATCTTATGCCCAGTAAAGACTGCAGCATGGCAGCATTCCCAGCAATCGGGCTGTATTTTTAAAGTGCATACATATCTGACATGCAGGATATGAATTTTTTGTTGTTGTGCGTTACCATTGTTTTGGTCACACATCTAAAACACAGCAGGATAGGAGATGCTGGGAAGAGAATTAACTCCATCCCAAACAGATCCAGTACATTTTTAAAGGCTGTTTAAAAAACAACAAGTTTATTTGTCCATGTTTTTCTTTGAAATTTTTAAATGACTTTTAAAAAATCTTGCTATTGCCCCCCAAAAAATCAGAGTGCAAGTTTAATCTAGCCTTAGTAAAGGGTTTGTGAGCCTATGAAGACACCTGTACAAATTCTGTTTCTACCAGCCGACCCAAAATCAGGAAGTATTTAAAAAGGAGGTTAACCTAGTGGTGCTTTCCCTCAACTTTTGACAGTTATTAAGTGCCATCACATGCATAAGCATACCATATATACATCATGGCACCTCAGAGAGCATGAAGAGCTTAAAGCCATATATACCAAAGCTTTAAATAGTTCAACTTACTTTATTCCACTGAGGTGCATAATACTTAAAACAATGGTTGCCTTTATAAAGAACAAGATAAAAAAATCCACCATCTCTGCTATGAACCTGTGTGCCAACGATGGGATAATGAACTCCCGACCTGTAAGAGAAATAGTTCATGTTACCCAGATTTTACTGCACGAACGCAAAGTTAACACTATCATCTCAAGAACATTTCACATTAATCTCCCTGCAAGAACATAATCAAGGTCTTGATCTCAGCTCACACCATCTTTGAGAAAAATTCTAGAAGTGTACAAATAAAAAATGATCTGAATTGTTTAAATCAAGTTATAAGAACCTTCTTAAATTAAATCAAACTCTTTCAGAACTGAGTCCCCTCATAATCAGGATTACAGACAAAATCACATCCCGCTAAAGAACCAAAGTACATTGAAGATGTATCAATTTTTGTGTTCTTTTGTTTAGAACAGCCTCCTAGAGAAGAGATTTCAGTAAACCTGAGAGTTCAGATAAAAGGAAAGCTAGATCTACCACAACTTTTCTATTGCTCAGCAGCAAGGCTTCCATATGTACCAAGTACCAGCTCTCTGAAAGCAAACCAGCCTATTTTGTCTCCAGTCAGACCCAGAAACAGGAGCTGATGAGAATATTAGTCATATTTGACATAAACATTCCTATAGACTACTTATTACAATAAAACACAGCGCGCTGCCCTACCATGAGCCAGAAAATGTAACACACTTCTCCTATTTAATTGGCCAAGTGCACATGGACAAAGCAAGCTGTCACTTTAAAAGCTTTTGTTGCTAATGCTACGTTGGATGATAAAAGCAAAAAAAACCTCAAAGAGTATCTTAGAAAGTTTCCAAGGAATTGCAAAATAATTTCATCTGGACCCACCTACCCCTCTATTTCCTGAATGTGACTGTCAGGAAACCAGCAAGGACTCGCATCAAAACTTCCTCTGGAAATACCCAAGTACTACTAGATGTAACTTGTGGAAAAGAGAGACTATGTTTCTTAGTATTTCTGAGAATGCCTACCCCCATGCACAGGGAAAGGAAAAAAGGCAAGAGGAAAGCAAATCTCATTCCCTCTCTCCAATTTCAAAAAATGTCATCAAATTTCACTTAGAATAAGCCTCCACCGTTCAACTGCTGAGACTGATAACTGCCAGTCTTGGCCTCACAAGCTATGTGAGCAAAACTGAAGGCCCACAGCACTTGGGCTCTTTTTAAATGGGGCAAGTATAATCAAGCAGTGATTAGGTAAGAGCAAGTTCTTATTTAACATACCTTGTTTATATCTCTTTGTTTCCCATTTCACTGTTAATTCTGCATTGAAACTATCAAGTAGCATAACTGTTATATATATAATGTTAAAATGGATTAAATTCTCATTGGCAAAAGCATCTCCAAGTTGTCAACTAAATTCTAATTACAGATTCTTCAACTAAGGCAGAAAGGAGCCTCCCAGTCCCGGCCTGAGCCTACAGGGTCAGACAAAAGCACCTATTTGCTCTGTTAAAAGGAGCACATTTGTTGAAGTTAGTGGCAGAGTTTCATTTGAATATATTAGATTCAAGGACTGAATAAGGAAGAAGCTAAGTGGGGCTAAGAAAATAAGTATTCACATTATGTTAAACTCCATTATATTAGGAAGCCCTGGCAACCCTTAGACTCTGGCAGACTTCCATTGCAGTGACTTGAGATGTTCCTCATATCCGAAATCCACTGTTTTGCCAGCGGTTACTATTTGCATGACCGGGCCAGCCAAACGCAACACACATCCATCTTGGCTCAAAGTCTGGGATCTGACATTAAGCTAGTAATAAAGACGGGTTTGCACCACTCAGCGACAGGGCAGCTGAGGCTCGGAGGTGTTTTCTGACCTCCTGTTCCCCGCAGAAGAGCGGTAATCTCCTGCAGTAAGGCAGGGAGGGGTGAGGGGAGGAAGCGTCTTAAATCATGACGACCGTCCACAAAAAGCCTGCTACTGCCCGGAGTGCTGCTAATATCCCTGCCCTGACACACACCTGCAGGCAGCTGGGACTGGGAGAGGCAGTTCCTAATTCCACTTTTCCACATCCCAGTTTAAAATCTGCAACATTACCATAAGCTGTCACTTATTTCAGCTTACGTAAACACACCAGGCTGTAAACTGCAATGGCACGGGGACAGATACATGACCTGCCCTCCAAGCCTGCTGTGTGGGCAATAATCTCCAGTAGAAAAGAAGGAGCCGTAATCACTTCAGCTGCTGCAGATTCCTCCATCTGCCATCTGGGGCCAAAGCACCGGCACCACAGTCTTTGTTTAGAACTGTATCGCTGTACCAGGTACAGAGTTCCCTTAAGAGGGCCAAGGGTCGCAACAGGATCTAACGTTCAGAATAAACATGTTCAGCAGCATGAAATGCTATTCATGCCCTAAATTATTTTTAATATATGGAATTAGTTCCTGAAGAACTAGGTAAAAATCCAAGAATCATTTCAGTCGAGCCTCTATCCATATCCTCTTTTTCAATGACTGGCAGTATCTGTTTGTAAGCAATCTATCACTGAGAATCATGGAACAATTAAAGAAAATGCTACTTTGTGTTACAACTTTGTTTAAACAACACCTGCTCAAAACCCCAGGAAACAAGTTCAAAAGCTAGATCCCTTCCCTTCAAAAGAAAGAAACTAAAACCAGTCTCCCCTCACACCCAGCTTCTAAACAATGTTACGTATCAGCAATGCCGCACTTTGCCCTGCAGAAAGAGATGTGGCTTTCTTCCAGAGTTCTCCAGCAGTGCTCTGCTCCACCGTTACCATTACTCAAGCTGCTACCAAACATTCAGGGAATGTCACCTAGGCACTCCTCGACTTGAGAAGAAATGCTTGTGCTCCAGGTTTTCTCTCCGATGTGATCAGTGCAAGTGTCTTACTCTCGAACAAATATAAACAGAAGCACTGCTATGCACTACCTTCAACATTTGTAGCCGTAACAGGCTTTTGTGTATCTCAGGCCCTGCTGCTATCTTGCTCAATGTCAGCCTGCTTTTGCTTCTCTGCTTCAATTTCATTAAGTGACTTTATTTGAGCACCAAGAGCCCACTAAAACTGACAGTCGGTTTAGATTTCACCATCCAAACAGGCTACTTGCAAAGCTAGATGCGTGACCACAAGTTTCACTGAAAAAAGACAAACCCCGCATCCACAAAAGCACATTACAAGCTCTATGCAACCCTCCCAAACCTCCTTACGGATTAAGTCCTGGATTCAGAGTAGGCATTCGGGGGGCTGTCACCTTTCACAAGGCGCAGCGACACCACCACTCCACCCCCCACCCCCCCACACACTCGGCTTCCCCCTCCAAAACGCCGCTCCCGACCCCCGGCCCGCACTCACCCGCCGGCCGCCCCGTCTCCCTGGGGGGGGTGCCGCTGGTGCCGCCGGCCGCCCTGGGCAGGGGGGTCAACCTTCCCGCCGCGCCCGGCCAAGCCGGGGGGGCAGCGGCGGCAGCGCGGGGCCCCGGCCCGGCAGCGGCCGTGTGGGCCGGCGCCGGAGCGAAGAGGTAGAAGGGGCTGTAGTAGGCGGCGGCGGCCGCTGCGGGCGGAGGGGAAGAAGAAGCAGGAGGAGGAGGAGGAGGGGGGGGCGGCGGCGGCGCGGCGACGCGATGGGGGGCGGCGGCGAGGAGGGCGGGCAGGCAGCCCTGCCAGCTGAGGTACCCGCAGTACGAGTCCCACAGCCACTGGTGGACGCGCCGCGCGTACTCCGCCGCGCTCAGCGGCTTCGCCCCGCCGCCCTCCCCCCCCGCAGCGGCCGCCGGAGGAGGGCGCGGCGGTGACGGCTCGGCGGCGGTGGCGGCGGGCTCCCCTTCGGTGAGGCCGTCGCTCCTCTTCTCGCTGCCGCCCTCCGCCATCGCCGCCGCCGCCTCAGCGCCGGTGCGGCCCGCTCCCGGCTCCGCCATCTCCCCTCTGACGCTGAGGGCCTTCCCTCACCGCGCATGCGCGGGGAAGACGCCTCGCCTCTCCCACTCAGCGAGGGGGGGCAAGCAGAGGAAGGGACCAAACGGGAGGCGGAGCCCTGGGGGAACGCAGCCGCTGCGCCAGGGAAGAACAAAGCTTCCCCCCTCCTCGTGAGATGGTACCGCCGGGCGCTGAGGCGGGGCCGCGGGCCGCCCGGGGCGGTTCCAAGCGAAAAGGCGGCGGGGGGGAGGGGAGGGACGGAGGCAGGCGAGTTCACGCTGTGGAGGCGGCTGTGTCCGTTTAGAAAGCACGTAATTATTTTTCCTTAGCATAAACACCAGAGTTTCCTGCCCGCGGCTGCTCCGTTGTCGCGGCGGTCCCCTCAGCACGGCGCGGGGTCGTCCTTCTCCTCAGCCAAAGCCCCCCCCGGCCTGGTTTCCGTAGCTGTGAAAGCCGGCGGTGGGCTCTGGGGTTAGCTGCTCCCGCGTCTTGTGCTGAGGGGAGTCTCCATCTTCCCTGCCAGCCTGGGTTTCCAAAATGCTCCCTCGCCAAACGTGCTTGGCGGGGGGGGATAGAGAGTGAACGGCTGCCGGTCCTGGGCTCGGCTGGCGGCTGGATTTGGCCCACGTCAGAGAGATATCGCTCGTCGTGGGCCGCGGTAGATGAGGTCATAAATCCAAGTGTAAATAAGGCATCGCCTAGCTTCCGAACAGTTCCCCCTCCTGCGGGGGCAGCTGCTGTTCCTGGCCTCTAGCAACTTTCTAAACACTCTCAGCTAATGGGAGGTAGGTTGAGATTCTTCGTAGAGAGAGGAAAAAGGTGTTAAACTGCTCTTGCGTACTTCTGCAGTTTGATTTTTGTTGTCTTAAATATTGCTTGCTTTTCCACCTCCCCTTTTTCACCTTTCCCCCTGTCACGTTCATGTTCTTCCTGTGCAAAAACTCTGAACAAAGAACCAGTGGCACTGCAACAAGTTTAAATGCTGTTCTCCAAATTAATTTTTAATACTTAGGGTTCCTGTATACTATTAAGCATCTCAACCAGACGACGAGTTCTGTATAACACGGATGAGCATAACTCCGTACTGAATGAAGTGGTAATATATACTATAAACATGGAGTGTTTCCCATTTTTAACAGCAAATAGCACAGCTGAAAAAAAAAAAAAGTTTCTCCCTCTCCCTGTTAGAATAAACCAAATACATTCCTTTTCCCGTGTAACCCTAACTCATTTAAAAACTGATGTTGTTTCTGTGATTTGAGTCTCTCATAGGCAAGCTGAGGTGAATTGACAAAGTGCTTAGCCAATAACCCATACCACTCTAATTAAATGCAGTTATGTTGGGTGCTGGCACTTGTTATGTAGATACGGTTCTAATTACAATGGTATGTGTTTTGTAACATTGACCTGGGTGAAATCAATACGGGTAAATGATTTGGGAAACATAGCAAGTTTCAGCATGATTAGGAAGGACATTGAAGAATGGAAGAAAAGAAGGAAGATAGACAAACAAGTGTATAGAAGAAAACCAGGTCTTAGGTTAGATAGTAACTCCTCCTAACAGAAAAACTAGCTTGGAAGACTGACAGTAAAAGTAACATAACTGAGCTTCTTCCTTTATAATATTCCAGTTCTTTCATCAGCTACAGTCTATTTAAATTTCCTTAAAATTGAGTTTTCACCACAAACCCTTCAGGACCAAACAGTGTCAGGCTTGCTTTTTTTTTTTTTTTTTTTTTTTTTTTTTTTGGTTTGTATGTGTGTGTGGCTACAGGTTTTTGCAAGCCAGATATCAGAACTTAAGGTAAATTACAAGATCTCGCAGGCTTCATGTAATGCTGCCAGTCACATGTAAATTTTAGGGTCACCAGCAGCATTACACAGGCATAACCAGTTAGAACTTTAGAACTCACTGTGCGATTATGCTGGGTACTCAAGGTGAACCTGTATCACTGACAGCAGAGAGAAGGGGAATAACAGAGACAATGTAATATTTCTTAATTCCCAGATTTTTCAGGTGTTAGTTTTCTATTCTTCTGTCTTAAAAAAATAACCCACAAATGCTGCAAGCATTCAGATTATTCTATTCTGTGATGCATATTATAGAGAGATGCTGTGACAACAGGGCTTGCCAGTGGTGGGGAACTCACAGCTGAGGCTTTTGGTGACAAAGGTCTTGTTTCATTGCTGTGTCGCATTGCTGCACGTGTTACGGGAGTACTTACAATCTTCCACAGCATCAGTTTCTCCCTACTTTACTTTGATTTCTCTTGTGAGCAGAATCAGAAAGGGAGATAATCTTGGGTAGTTCATTGTACCAGTTGATGAAAATAAGTGATTGAATGCCTTGGCAGTTAAATATCCTCTAGAAATGAGATTTAGGCAAAAGGAAATGTTTTGAACTCGATCAAAAGGGAAATACGCACCTAAAAGCTGATACAGCAGTAGTTAAGGTTTAAGGGGAATCTAGAATCTCATCTTAAGCTCTTTAAGTATAGGTAATGCTGAAAAGCCTGATCTGTCACTCTTGAGTGGGGAATCTTTTCTAATCAATAGGAAGTAGCAGAGCACTGGTCTGCTGTAAATCTAGCTGTTGTTCAGAGGTAGAGAGACCTATCATTGCTCATTTTTGATATGTGTTCTAGCATCTTGTTTTCACGGCAGGGTTTTAAACAACTTTTAAAACCAATAACTTGCTGAAGCATTCATCTGGATGTATGAAACTGAAGTTCAATTCCTTCCTTTGCTTGTTGGCTGCAGATCCCATCTCCTGCATCGTGTTCTAATAACAGGGGCTCTTTTAGAGTCCTTGTAGAAGTGTTGCTGGACATGAATCAACAGCAACCTCTTGTCATTCCAAAGTGGTTAATTATTGTAGTGCCCAGAAGCCTACATGTATTCATGCTATTTAGACACTTGTATCAAGTATGTATGTTCATGTACAGAGTGAAATTAATGCAAATGTTGGTTAAAAAGATCCTTCATTACTGAAACACATAGACTGAGTCACTGAAGAGTGAGAACTTTACCCCCTGTTGGGACAAGCAGCCAGATATAGGACATGAAACCTGAGCCAAAATGTAAATGTATGCATTGAATAAGCATAAAGTAAAACACTATATATTTCAGTGTAGGAAAATGGCACAACTGTCTCTCAAATGAAATCAATTTAGCCTTTCACTCTGAAACTAATCTGACTCATGCAGGTGAGGATTTTGAAGGAGAGATTGGCTCTAAAAGCCATCATGGTCCATTGAGAGGCATTTTCTTTCTAATAGATGCAACTTCAGGTGTAATACAGACAGAAAATAGAGTCCTAGTGGTCACAGTGGATAAAAAGGCCCTAGCAAATCAGCTGGAGAAAAATGAACTTTCCCACATTTATTTTAGGATACACAGATTTTTAGTGTGATTGCCTGTTTACAAGTACTATCTGCTTTGGGAGTTGTGTGTAAATACCTTTATTTGCCTTTTGCATTAACCTGGTTTGAATGAAGAGTAACCAGGCAACAGCTTTACTCAGGAGGGTGGCACTCGGAAGCCTTACCAGTTACCCAATTCCCTATCAGATTCTTCAGTGTTGCCAGAGAGGAAATACGATTGTGCCTCTGTCAAAGCAGCACAGGAGCTTGGGGTTTGGAGGAGAAGAGTCTTCGGTGGTCAGTGGTGATCAGGTAGGGTCCTTGGCATGCAGCAGGACTCAGGGAAGCAGGGTTAAGCCTAGAAGATCACCTCTGAGTTTTGGGGGGTGGAGAGGGAGTTTTCTCTGTACTTACACAAAAGTTTGGCACCCAAAATGTTTTTTCAGGATCATTTCAGGTAGGTTCTTGTTTTCTGGTAGTCAGAACTTTCCTTGCGGAGTGTTATTGATCATTTTTATCTAATGACTGCTTCGTATGTCAGGGGCCTGTGTATAGGCACTTTCTGAGGGCAACAGCTACTTGTGGGCAATATTTTCACAGCAGTGGGCCCTGATCACCTGCAGCAGGGGAACTGAATCTGTCCTACATGTTCTTGATAACTGCTCTGCTTGCTCGCATACCGTATAATCAAGTGAACGTTACCTCCATTTGTCTGGAGGCAGCTGCTTCCACATTTTAGAAGGAGCAACAGCAGATCAGGAGAGTGTACTAAAGGTGCAGGCTGAGTTGAGCCCCTGAAGGATTTCAAATGGACAAATGCTTGATCTCTAGGGAAGAAATGTGAGGCACGGGTTTATGAACGTGCGTACCATACAGTAACATTGAAAGAACTCGTGCAGATCCAGATACACTGAGGACTCGGAAAAGAGAACAAGAATGGTTTGTCTGGGTAATAACTATAGCACTGGGAAGCCTTAGCAAGTGCCTAATTCCCTAGGACATTGAAAAGATTTTTGGTTTTCAAATGCAGACTTGAAATTGCTTATTCTTTTATCTTTAACAGCTCTGTTAAATATTACTTTTAAGTTCAATCTTTTTTTTTTTTTTTTAATGTGCTTTTAATGGGGATATGCTTAGCAGTGTTCAAAAAAACCAAAAGATCAAATTAATCATTGGTAACAAGTAGTTGTTTTTTCTTGTTCATCCCAATCAAACCTTCTCCTTTTACCAAGATGGTGATTTAAAGACCAAAGTAATCTTTAAATGTTTCCACAGTGACTTCTGGAGAGTAGAATTCCCCAGCTCCTTTGGCAAAGGGCGTGCATGTCCTGTCTCAGTGCTGTGGTCCTGCCGTTTTGTTTCGCGCAGAGCTGGCGGGGGCCTGGGCCTCGGCTGGTTCTGCCATCTTGTGGCTGCACGCCACCGCTACCTCGGTACTTCCCCACTAATTCCTGGTAACCAGTATTCCAAATAACTAAGCAAGTATCACAGAATCACAGAATGGTGGCGGCTGGCAGGGAAGTCGGGAGGTCACCTGGTCCAACCTCCCCCTGCTCAAGCAGGGCAGCCTAGAGCCAGGGCTGCATCCGTGCGGCTTTTGAATATCTGCAAGGATGGAGACAGCACCGCGTCTCTGGGCAACCTGTGCCAGCGCTCAGTCACCTGCACGGTGAAAAAGTGTTTCATGATGGTCAGAGGGAACCTCCTGTGTTCCAGTTTGTGCCCAGTGCTTCCGGTCCTGTCACTGGGCACCAGTAAGCCTGGGCCTGTCTTCTTTTCATTCTCCCTTCAGGTATTTATACACATTAACAGATTTCCCCTGAGCCTTCTCTTCTCCAGGCTGAATGGTCCCAACTCTCTCAGCCCTTCCTCCTGCGAGAGGTGCTCCAGTCTCTTCATCGCCTTCGTGGCCCCTCACTGGACTGACTCCAGTATGCCTATGTCTCTCGAACTGGGGAGCCCAGAACTGGACCCAGCACTCCAGGTGTGGCCTCACCAGTGCTGAGAAGAGGGGAAGGATCACCTCCCTCGCCCTACCGGCAGTGTTCCTTCTCACGCAGCCCAGGATTCCCTCAGCCTCCTTTGCTGCAGGGGCACATCACCGGCTCATGTTCAACTTGTCCACCAGGACTCCCAGTCCTTTTCTGCCAAGCTGCTCTCCAGGTGGGCAGCCCCCAGCATAAACTGGTGCATGGGGTGGTTGTTCCCCAGGTGCAGGAATTTGCAGTTCCCCTTGTTGAACTTCATGAGGGACTTGTAGAGAGTATTTCATGAGTACTTTTACAGAGGTTCTATTTAAGAAAGTATGAGATCCATTGAAGTTCTTCATAGGAAAAAAGCTGGTTTACTTTTGGACACTTAGTAAAAAATCTCCTTCTCTTACATGTATTTTACTGGCTGACTGACAGCACCTGTACTGGTGAATATTTGACCCATGCAGATCTATAAAAATGAACTGGCTAATTACACCATATACATTTGTTCTGTAACAATATAGGCCCCAAATGCACTGTTTTCTGCTTTAAGAGTTGCACCGATTGAGAGCATAACCACAACTTCAGTGTAGAGCTGAAATCAAGAGGCATGTCTTGTGTGATAGCATGCAATAAAAAGAAATGATCAATAGGACTTTAGGGATGCTCAGCATTTAGTAGTTCATTCCTTGCTGGAGTCAACCATTAAACATAGATCAAGCTTGCTGCTGAAGACTAGGTTGACACAACTGATCATGATTGGCATGATTCTTCAAATCATTGTTCTGCAGCTTGTTGACTACTTCTACCTCAAGATACACTTGATTTTGCAGAAAGTGAGTTTTTAACCTTTAATTGTACACAAATTCATGTAGGCAGAATCAGAAGCTTGGGTTTCTTTATTTAGCCCTCATTTATATTTTTGAAGTTAAAGACATATTACAGGGAAAGAACAGTCCAACCTACTGCAAATGTATGACAAGTATCTTTATGAGTACCAGAACTGACAAAAACTGGTTATAGACTTTTTGTCACATGGCTGACTAGAAGTACTGGATAAAATCTATTTGCATGTCTACAAAGTCTCTTTCCTATTTTTCTTGTGTCCAGTAACGCATGGACTCGTTAGCCTTTTCTTCAGTTGAAGCAATTACCTTGGGTCTGTCCATGCAAGGCCTTCTTCATTAGCTTTTAAACCTCTGCACTCTGCCAAAGTTCTCAGGTGTGTTCAGACTGTCAGGCACACACTGTTACTGCATAAAACTTCTTCCTGTTAGGAAACTGGTCAAAAAAATATACTTGGGTCTTGCATGTTGCAGGAGCATGAGTGTTAGGGAGAAGGTCTAGCCACAATGGAGTTTGCTTTCAAACATGTAAAAGAGGAATCAGACCAGCCTTCACACGGTTTGTTTTTGAGGGGGGAGTTAAATCCATAGGAGGAACTAAAAAAGAATTTGCCTGCCTAGTGATTCAGAGCTGTCTCGCTGCTTTCTGTTTATTGTCAAGCATTTGATATTTGTTTTGTCTCATACCTCCAAAGATTAAGTGGCTTCCTGTTGCTGCATAATGACTTGATCCCTATTTGATGCTGGCTGAAAACAAGAGTCAGTATTTCAGGTCAGAATGCTCCAGAATGAGATTATTTTATCAAACAAATTATGATTTAAGGGTTAAAGAATCCTTCAACAATCCTTTTAGCGTGACAAGTACGCGATGCCCATTCTTCAGATATAAGCACATCCAAGTGACATATGGAGTGGACCGCTTGTGGTTTGTTAACACAGGAGGGACACTACCAAAGCCATGGAGGGAAACAATGGGAGAAGCTAAAAATAAAAGGCGAACCTTATAAAATTGCACCAGGTCACGATCATCTCCCTAGACATAATCCCTAGAAGATACAGGTGTACCTATAAGTGAGACTCATGAAAAGCTCAATTCTCTGGCTGTCACAAAGTTATATGCATGAAACTTCAGGTTTATCTGCTAGCATGCAGAATACCTGCTATTCACTGTCAGGTGAGTTACAGCAGCAAAAGTGGTAATGTTTAATGAAATGGAAGGAGGACCTACTTAATCAAGCTCTTGCAACAGCATTTAAGAAAGAGAAAGCTTATAGGACAAACACTGTAACGGAGCATGTTCTGAACAACTTTGTATTTAAACAAGTACATTTTCCATTTTATTTCATAAGAAGTTTACTGTTGAAAAAATGGTATGTATTAAAGCAAACACATTATACACATAGATTAAACATCAGATAGCAAAACCTTATGGCATGAGCACTACTGGTTGTATTGTATAGGGTTTAGAATCAAAGATATACTTAAAAACCCTCAAGAATTAATGTACTTTCAAGGTAAATTAGGCACAAAATTTAGCTTGTAACTAGCTCTGCAAGCATCTCACTGTGATTTCGCTGTTACAAAGTATTACAAGTGATCAAAAACATAAGCTGACTACTTAAATTTTTAAAATTTTATTTGTACTATGTGCTGAAATAGTACAAATGTGTACAACACTCCACCTTTGTTAAAAAAGCATGTACAATAGGGACTATAAAGTAGAATCAAAGGGCTAAACAGGAAATTAGCCCTTTATTTGGGCTCAGAATTAGTATGACATAAATATATGGCTTTGCTTTGTGGACATACTTGAAATTGAGTAAGTCCTACAAATGTGGGGAAGAAACAGGAAGATATTTGTAATGAATATGAGCTACAATAGCAATATTTTAAAGGAACGTTATAAGGAAACTAGCTGGTATCTGACATACATGCCTCCCTCAGTTTTCGGAACAGAATGCAAGATACAATGTGAAATTTTAAATTATGAGAGATTGTCTCACCAAAAAAAAAAACCCCAAAAACCAAAAACAGCAACAACAACAAAAAAGAAATCCAAGGATCAAAAAACCTTCAAGTGATTTGCTGCAAGGTTTTAGCTTAGTTGAGGCTTTAGCTCAGAAAGAATTACTGATTTGCAAGAAATGAGAGGGCAACAGCATGTCTGTGGACCGTAATAAAATCTTACCTCACATAAAACATAGGGATCTTCTAAATACACATATTAGAAAAGTGTTTGATTAAAATACCAGATTTTTTTTATCTTCCATTAACAAAATGTGTTGCTGAAAGTTGTCATTTTCTGCTTGTTTAAAACAAACCCCATTATGATTGCCACAGAACTACAAGGAACTGCATACTTTCTAGGGGTACACTTTTACTGCATCTTACAGGAATTGCTTAATAGGTAAAAATAAACATCTTAAAGTCTTAATGCTGTTTTTGATTAGCAGAAACATAAAAAGGAATGCACTGAAGCAAGATGATAACAAAGTGTATCATGCAGTATTTTGGCTTGATGTATGCGGTATTTCAAACCAATGACGTGACTGGAGGGTGGGGGGTTTTAATCTATTACATTCACATGAAATCATTTAGAATGAAAACTGTGTGTGAAGGCAAACTGTGTGGGAACGTGGAAAGTACTGGGATGCCTAACGGAAGGGTGCCGGTGGTGTTACTGTTTTTAGCATGCAGAGCTAATGCTTGAAGGCCTATCACAGCAGTATGAACTACTGCTGCTTCTAGTTCTTTACATTACTGCTTAGTTTATGCTGGCCGTGGTCTGGTCACGGTCAGCAAGTGCTGTGTGGCGTTGGGAAGTTAACCCACAATCTCTGCAGGTTCAGTGACCAACTTAGATCCATCCCATGCTGTCTTGAACTGTTCAGGAACCGGAAATTCTTTCTGTTAAGAAACAAAAGCAACAATGATGGTTAAATAAACAGTGGATACCTCATGAAAACTGGTGGAATACTATTAGTGCTACATGACTGAGAAAGCATTGATAGCTCAGACATGCCAGGATTAGAGAGAAGCCTTCTTCATTACCCTAGGAAGCTGTTTTACAATGCCACACAGGAAAAAGCCTTATTGCTACCCAGTTTCAAATAGCCTTGGTATGGTACTACTTTGCAATAATCCCTCTCACACAATTATTTGGAACAACTAAGCAAATAAGCCTCATGTCAGAAATCACTTTAGATTCCATCACTGTCTGGGTTGGAAGACAGTAGAAAGGATTTAGATACGGAGATTTAGCGAGGAGTCTAATTTTAAGGACAAAAGCAATATGGAGATAATATGGAAGAATAAAATAATAAAAAAAAGTATCATTTTAAATGTGATACACTTCAAAAGACTTAACGTCCCTTGTGGGGTACACAAAACGAAGCAGAACATCAAAGAAAGTCTTTTTCCATTCCATGTATTCGGTGAAAGGATGGGAGATGTTGGATCTTTCTCTGTTCCCAGTAAACAAAAAACAATGTGAAGAGAAGGGGTCTTTCATTCACGCCTTAAATAGGTGTTTTGATAGCCAGTAATTTCAAATAATACAGAGATTTGGGTGAGACTGATCAAAAGGACTTTTTTTTTTTTTTTTTAAGAAATGGGTGAATATGCACCCACTGAAAACCATTCCCTTTTCAGTTATCTGAAGCTGGGCATCCGACAGTCACTTTGGGAAATGTGGAGCATGAGAATTCTGTTGTTACATCTTTTCTTTTATAAAGCCTAACCCCCTCTACCAAACAAAATTCCAGTCCAGAAGATTAATGGGAAATTTAAGTTCTGTTTATGTCCATTCAGTGCAAATTCAACACTGCTCTGTTGAGGAAATTAGGGAACTATTACAAGTATGCTTTCCTTGCATGATCCCTTGCTAGTGGGGGAAGTGACAGAGCTTGACTTTACTAGAAATGCCGGCGGGCATAGTATGAAAATCTCACTAGAATAGAAAAGTTGCTGGGAAAATGCACATGTTTAAGAGGCTTTTAAGGACATATGTTGAAAATACCAGAAAGTACTATAAATGCTACCCATGTATCAATAGCTTTAGAAAAAATATTACACTGTATTATTTCATCTGTAGTAGTATAATATTTATCTTAGTTTTAGCATCATCATCTTCAGGCTTGAGTGCTCTTGTGTGAAGTGAGTTTCGCTGGGAGATTATGTTTAGATATCAAAAAAGAAAATTAAATGGACAGGAGATGAAGCCATTAAAATGGAAAGAAATAATGTAATGTCTGATCTTTGAAATTGCTTTGTGACCCAGAAAATAAGGAGTTCTACTTGCACTGATAGCTGAGAAAGTGGTACGTAGAAATCAAATTGTTTTGGATCATTTTTTGGTGATGTAGTATGTGTGGTATGTTAGTTTCTTTCCTATCAGTTTAAGTGCTATTAGCTACCAAGACTAGTGGGGAAGGGGTTGGAAAGCTTTAAAAATATCTTCACTCACGTAATCACCATCTTGGGGGATGAGGATGTTCATCTCGGATGACTTGGCACTCACAATCTCACAATCTAATGATTCCTCACTGAGGTAAATGTGGCAGCCTTCTGTTTTGTTAATAGAAATGGTTGGCACTTTTCCCATCACCTGCAAAATAAAATCTATTTAATATCCAATCTTAAAATGCACACAAAGATACTGTTGATAAAATCCTCATTGCCAGCCTGGTCTAATTTTGGCCACCAACATCTGATCTATGTGTCAGCTGCCTGCATGATGCTTATATTTGATTTGTTAGACACGGTGAAAATTCTTGGTGGTGGTAATTAAGATCTATACACAACAGCAGACTTCTAATATACAGCAAGCTTTTAATATATAGTTTGATGAATGTGCTTTCCTGACTCTCTCTAATTTCTGTGACACTTTTGTGCTGATATTTAGGCAGTGTTCACCTTGTTCATCAGTGAGAACTGGTTAAGAAATCAAACATGTCAACTCCAACCCAGTAAGGGCACATGAAAGATCCCAGAATACAGCAGTACTCAAGAAGTGACTTGTAATACATCCTGAAGACTTCAAAGCTCTTCCAGGTTTTACAGCATATGATAGGAAAGGGGTTTTATTCCCTTCAGGCAAGCTATAGTTCTAAAAAAGTACTGAGATCAATTTAATTAACTCTCTGAAGGTATTTCTTATATTGCTTGAAAAGCAAGCACAAGATTTACTTGAGGGGAGAAAGGGAAATCTTGCTTACAATTCTACAGATTAAAAGATTTCTTTGTGGCTAACTGGCTGACTCACTGATTGTCAGTAAAAATTCCTCCTTCTCCTCCTGCCCTCTCTATCAGGGACAGCAATATACTCTGGACAATGCATCAAAAGGACAGAGGTTATTCCAAGCCATAAAACAGTAGCAGCATGTGACAGATATGTACTTGCTAATGAAAGAGTGTCTCCCATCATTCAAATTAAGAATATATTTTCAGCTTCAATTCCTGAAATGTGACAGCAAACAAAGAACGTGTGCTCTATCCTCTTGCATCCCACCTTGATCCTGAAGTCTGATCTATGTAGCAGATCAGTGCATCTAAAAATGATCTTTCTCTTCTTTAATGGCTTCTCATGCAATAGAGAACAAAAGGAGGGTGTGTTTAATAAATATTGCAAACATCTGGCAAGAAAAAAACCTCAGTGGGAGGCAGGAGAGCCAGGCAATATGGCAGTGAAGTAACTATTTTTAGCAAAACCAGTAGGATGAATTTACTGAAATTTGTTGCATTAACATATGCTGTATTTGAAAATTATAAACTTGGGCCTTCAAAATACTGAGAAGTTTGAGGTGCTTGGTATACTCAAACCCTGTGGAAGCTGCCTGATTCAAGCATCATATAGTATGTAGCCAGACTCTGCCTTCTTAAGTAGAACTTCACTCTGCTCCATGGCATAGAAGCCTTATGCAATATTCATAGAACCTGCTTAATCAAAAGAGTTTTGATTCTTAGAAAAGATATTTCCCCTTTATTTGAGTATTAGCAAGCTGTGGTTTTGCTATTCATTATATATGAATTTTTCAGCTTTCATGAATAGTTCTAGAGATAATGATAAAAATAATCTAATTTTTAAAAAACCCACTCAAATAAATGCCTGGGATCTTTAACTATCTGTCTCTGCCATAAGTAGACATGTCGTGATTGTGAATAAAACTGCTTGTTACAGTTCAGAAGATGATGCACAGCTGGTAGCAATGTCAGCCACCTGCATGAGATTCGAAATATAAAAAAGCATCTCACCATTATCTCCTGTGGTGGCCGTGACCAGTGTTTCTGAAGCATGGAGCAGGACTGTCTACATTTAATGTCATACAGTGGGCACAGCCTTTCAAGCAAAAGACCTCATGTTGAAGACTGGAAGTTCGATATAATTTAATTAACATTTCATTTCTTTTTCACTTAAAATAATACATCCTAAAGTCCCTTCTTGAGACTAGGTCATGTGTGTTGGACACAACGCAGTATTAGAGCACGTATAGTGGAACTTCTTTGCAATGAGATGAATGAAGTGCTGTAAATGTCAGTCTGTATGTTGAACGGGGCAAGCATCCCCAGTAGAGAGGGCAATATATGGATTTAAAATATGTATGTTTTGTTTTCACGAGAACCACAAGGAAGATGTTCTCTAATGAAACTTTGCTTACTGGTTATCAAAGACAAAACCAGTAGAGGCTCATAGCCCATTTGTAGGCAAGTGACTACATTATTTACTCACCTAACGTGTCACGTCGCCGGCAGGGGTAATTTTCAAAATCCCAGTGCCTACTTTCACTTTATGTCATTTAGTTGTCCTCTGACAGTCTATTCAAACATTTCCATTGAAAGAATAGCAAAAAAAAAAAAACCAAAACCCAAACATCTTCTGGGCTTAGAAATCAATTAGCTAACTGCCAAAATCTGTCCCATAAGCACCACTGAACTTTCAACTGCTAGGAACTGTTTAGCATGAAAGCAAGAAAATTAGGGCCAGAAACACCAGTTCTTACGGCTTCACTGGAACCAGAAGGGACTGGGCTAAGGGAGGGTCGTTAGCGACGGTCAGTAGTTTTCACAGGCATTTTCTAAATATATTGGCAGACTTTAGTGCATATAAAGATACATTTGGATGCATCAATCTCTTATTTTTATTGTGCTCCTGTGAGTTTTAAAAATCTCTTGTAGCTACATGGTGGGCTTTTTTTTTCCCTGCTTGTTCTCTATCTTTGCTTTTCAAATAGATACTTACCTGAATCTGAATATCCCTGGAATTGATCACTTCCACGATTCCCACAACGTTGTCAAATACAAGGCCAAACTTTTTACAGTTGTCTAAAATAAAAGCAATCATAAATAGGAAAAGCAAGATGAAAGCAAATATATGCACACCTGCTACATTAACTATGAAAATTCCCAGTCTTGCACTGCATAGCTGAGCGACTTTACTCACGTGATCAATCCATTAAAGTGAATGGAATGTTTCAGATGCATTATTAATCACATAAATCAGTTTTTCCAAGATTGGCATTTAAAGCCCAGCTGAGCTATACACTCACCAATAATAATTGAATTGATTTTTCCTTTTATCTGAAGTGTAGATTTGTTACACTTAAAAATGTAGGCCACTTGCTTGAGTTCAGTGTTGTTAATGACCAGGTCATTCTTATCCTCTTGATATTCCTATTTCAAAAGAAAGTTTATTTAATTGGTTGTCTTTAACTAGCTAGCAGTCAGACAGAGTTTAGTACAACTTATCCTCGGGTCATTGCATCTTCAGTTACAGCAGAGCAATATCCTTCCTGTGGGTTAAAAATCTAATCTGCTCGATTATCAGATATTTCACCTAATTCACCCTTAGATGACACATCTGTATTTTAGAGCTGCAGAACTGAAGAACTTAGCATAGACCATGACAAAACCCATTAATTTTGTAGCAAAGGCATTACGCTCACAATTTAAAAATGCATTCACAAAACTGTTACTTGGCTCCCATCCAATTTAGACCAGCACTTTGAAGAACAGAGCAAGTTTTTGTTTCCCCGAAATGTTATATAATGTTCTATACAGTGTGTTATGAACAGGTGCAGGCATTACCATCTGCAATAAGGAGTAGCGGGTGAAGAAATTTCCTTTCATTATGAAGTGTGAAAAGACATTTACACTCCATAGATGTCCAGGAAAGACTAGGGATCCACAAGGAAAATTCCAGGTCCTATAATCTTAAGGCAACATAACACAGGCTAATGGTAACTGCACCTTAGGCAAACTCAACTCCACAGTGATAACTGTGTATATAACTTTCTGCATGACTAAAATGCATATTGTTTCCTCCCTCTTTTAACTGACAGTCACGTGAATTTTTGCTCATAGATTATTCAGTATGTGCCTACATAAATTAACTCCCCAAATTTAAGCAAATCTATTTTTTCCATCCGTAGTTAAGAAAAAGGAAAATGCTTCTCTACTTTTAAGCATGGGAGACATGCTTGCATGGAATGGGTGATGAAAAATAAAGGTTTAATTCCATTGGTTAACAAAGCTGGAGAAAGTGCTCTGTGATAATACTGTTATCTCTCACTTGCACAAATGGCCTGCAAGAAGGGATTTTAATTGGAGCTCTCCACTGAATTTGTTTCTGGGGGATTGTCTGATTTTGCAGGGAATTTATATGCTGTTTCTGACATTCTCCAGTTCAGACGAATTAATATATGATTATCAAAGAAAATAACTTTTGATGCTACAGCATAGTAAAAGCTAAACTGTAGCAAGGCAGAGCAATGCAAGACTCAGCCCATTTTAGTTGCAAGTTTGCTTTGTTGCACCTTGATCATGGACAGCCTTTTTCAAGGTGTCTCAGTGCTCAACCTGATTTCCAGTGTTCAGGGTGCCATCTGGAGCTGTGACTGGAACTCACCACTCGCCACTTCTTTCCCTCTAGCGCCAAGACAGGGGCATGGCTCTGCTGTGGGGAATTCTTGGGAGAGGTGGGACTTGGAGTATGGCTCTTTGTAGGAGAACGAACAGAGGGACATTGGGCACGCAGGCTGGGGTTCTTGTGAGTCTTCTGGTCATCAGAGACATGTCGAAGCCCTAAGAAAATAGGACAAAGGGTGTTTATGAAAGAGAGTCTGTTTTCCAGTCCTAAGGGTGTTCCTGTTTGATCAGGAAAGGCTAACTTGTAATCGTGTTAAATTATTCTGTGAATTTACCTCAAGGTTTGCCTGGGTAAAGACCTAAAGTGTAGCTGCCTATGTATTTTTAGCAGCTCATATAAAACCTCTTTTACTGTGGATGGGCTATCTTAGAATCTTTAACAGGAAATTCTGCAATGTCTTCTTGTCCCTCTGTCTGTGGCAAGCTCCGAGAGCTTGTGATAGCATTATTTTTTCATCCATAAAAATTAGATTATTTTTCTAATTTATGACAGTATTCGACCTGTCCCTGCAGCATTAAAGGCAGATCTATCAATTGTATGTATTTAAACTCACAGACACCCACTTTAATTACATCTGTCCTGTATTACTATAGAAAGCTTTATTATTGTACTCCAATGCTGATCTGTGTGCCATACCTTTTCACCTAACATGTAACACGTTTTGAGACTGGTTGATACACTGAATGTGAATCAGAAAGGGGGATAAATTTTCATTGAAATTGCAGCTTAAAAACTTCACCAGCTACTGGGGATTGAAGATGTCCAGCTTGGCTGCCCTAAAATTAAAAGGATACCTCTAAATAAATGGTGTGAACTTCAGGTATGCTGAACGTATGTGCATGCTGTTGCTTCTAAAGGAGGTTTTGGTATGCAGTCTCATCCATCAGATTCACTTCAAGCCTCAGAAAGATCTGAGTTGCTTAAATGTAACTTAAAAATGCAGTGGCAGTTACGTTAATACATATAGCAGCTCTAATGCATGTACCAGCTCGTGATGTAGTTTGACTCATGGACCAAAATTTGATTTCTTTTCTCCTGACCTTTGGTAATTGCCTCTCCCTGGTTAAGCTGTGCAAATAGGGCTGAGCGAGAAGCAGTTCCCTCGTCCTTGACAGTTTCTGTATCAAAGATGGGGGGAGGTCCAGGTGGTGGTGGTGGTGGTGGAGGAGGTGCGGAGAGGCATGACCCACTTGTTAGAACAGATCTCATAGACATGGGTGATGCGACAGGACCCTGTTTGAGATAGATGGAAATTGTTTTACATACAGTGTTTCAGGGAACATTGTAATACGATAGCTCTTATTTATTAACATCCTTGACTTTGAGTGACTCTAGGCAGACACAGGCTCAGAAGAATTTCTGGCACCACAACCAAATGTAATGCTATGAATCTTGCCCTGCCCCAACGCAGGCAAGGCTGGAAAGACTGACAGTCCACACCATGACCTTACTGCAGAACTACTCCACCTAAAAAATTGCTTCCAAATGCTTGTCAAGACTGATGTTAAAAATCTTTAATAGTAAAGCTCCACAATTAACTTATTCTAGTGTTTACTTACATAAAAGGGAAAATGTCTCCTTTTTTTTCAGATACCAAATTCAGTTAGCCATAGCTTGATGTGCATTCAGAAACATACAGAAAATGTTTTGATCTAACACAAATAACTGGGCGGGTCATGAACTGTCAGTTATACATATGCAACATGCTAAATTGTACGCAAGATATAAAATTCTATTCTTGACACTGTTCAAGTCATCTGCAAAGATTCAGATACAGCAGAATGTAAAACTATGGTGATTCAAGACTCTTATTACTGAAATTCAGTATCTGAGTTTTTAGTTCAATTTCTCAAATTCCTTTTTCTTTTTTTCAATTGCAGGGGATCACAGCACACAAGTTGTGAGTGAGGGGGGCCTTGGTAAAGTAAGTAATCCAATCTTTCTTTTGGTTTGCATAATCAAAAATACATGTTTGAGTCTGAATTATAATGCTTACATAGAATATTATCAGACAGAAAATACTAATAATGATCTGATTACAGTTTTATGCATCCTAATAATAGATGCTAGATAGAGTCTGAAAAACTGAGAACCACTTTTTCTGTCTTGCCACTGAGTGTCACTCTGATCCCACCTCTCTGAAGCAGAGCAGAGACTGCTTTAAAAGAATCATTGTGAAAAATTAGATTGGTTCTGATGAATTTAGCTAGCTCTGCAGACATTGGGCATTGCACCGGTACATATTTATTAGGCAGGGCAGACACAATGGGAAGATGACAGGGACTTGCAGAGTCACAGCTCCTCTAATTGGCTACCTTTGTTAAGAGATACAGGTCGTTAAAAGTGCATCCCTGGTAATCAATACTGGAAACAGATATTGCTTAGCTGGACTCAGAGGATATTTTTAACCATTTATGATGCCACTCCTTTCTGCTTTCCACTAAACTGAAATAGCAAAGTATCCATCTGGTTCATGCATCTCACATGAGTGAGAACTCCAGCTATTTTTTTTAAAAGTAAACTTGTTCTAGCCTGTAATCCCAAAGGGGCTGTGGTGCACATGCTCTTCTTTTTTTTTTTTTACTCTTCAGGTATACTTTTTTTTTTAAAAAAAAGGCTGGCACGTTTGAGTAAGTAACTGCATTCAAACCTCTTAGTCATTATGACCCTAATTAGAGTAGCATGGAAAGGGAATAATGTTAGTTAACCTCATAATGTACACCCTCTATTGGCACATGCATATTCAGCATATAAGTACTATTTCATTTGAAGAAGCTGTTTATGGAATATGTTAGTGATGAATACATAGCAAGATTCTTTGTCACACTAGTGACATGAAAACTACATCCCGGGTACTTGGGTGAGTAATGAAACTGATATAGTGGTACAGTTTGATTGTTTCTGAAAGGATCTAAGATCTCTTAAGGGAATGAGCTCTCTTCTGTGCTATTAAATCTTTTTGATCAAATGTAAACAAACGAGAAGAATCCCCTTTTGGAGTTGATTATCATTTATTGTCAAAATATACTGCTTATAGAGACATTTCATTGTTGCTGGGATACATCCAACTCCCAGCATTTCTGCTTACATACTTAGTAGTTACAGGTTATTGTTTTAGGCTGGGGACAACTTCTTCACTGGGTCCTCACTTTACAGTGCCTGTCTTCCTGCTTCTGCTAATGCCAGTCATGTTATCTGCAGCAGTCAGCACAACTGTGAATTATTATAATAAAAAAAATGAATATAAGTGGATTTAGTGGCACAATCAGTTGTTGCTGCCTGAGGTGCAATAGAGATCTTCCCTATCTGTTGCCTGCAACCATAGCAACTGAATCCACTATGTCCTGGTTATCCAGAATGATGAGCATTGCATTTGCAGGGCTTTTTAAAATACTCAGATACCCAGCAGTGGAACTCACCATTCACAGTACAGTGTGAACATGCAGCTATGAATTATGTATGCTTTATGGCAGGAGATAATAGTAGTAGTGGTTAATAACTTGTAGTCTGAGATAAAAATCTGATTTCCCAAATTCCAGATTGACATCTCATTTCCCAACCATACCTTATTGATTCCACCTGCATAAATACAGCGCTGTGATTTTGCAGAAACTTGTGTGTGTAAGACTCACACTTTCATTTGGAATTAACACCAGTTAAATTCTGCAAAGGCTGCAAAGATGTATTAGAGCAAAAAAGATGTAGAAGCTATCTAGGTATTCTGCATACTACACAGAGTGGTGGGTCACTCTGCCAGTCTCTTTGCCTAACATGTGAAACTGAAGGCCATCACAGATCATGCAGGAGACTCCAGGCTCAAACGATGCTGCTGACTAGTGCATCAAAGGCAGTTTCCAAAATGGCAACAAAAATATGGGAATGTCTATGTTACCGAGGTGGAAGCAAAATTCAGAGAGATTTATCTGTGGAAGTGGATGATCTCTGATCTCCCAGAACTCTGAAGAACTATCTTGTGATAGTACAGACAAAAAGGAAGGATTTTAAATACATCGATCAAGTTTGGATGTGGTTTTGTATGACTGGAGAATGTCTTATTTACTTTTCAAGAAAGAGCAGATGTTGGAAAGGATCTGGGCAACTAGGAGCATCTTTCCCTTCTAGAGCAGTACTGATGAAAATACAAGTCTGGTCAAAAATCTCAACCCTTGACACGAGGAGTGAAGACATTCTAGTCCTTTAAGTGACTTTCAAGAGTAGGAAAAAAAATTATTCCTCGTCTATCTGCTTCCTCTTTTCTTTACAAGCCTGGTCCCTCCACCAAAGTCAGTGGCTATCTCCACTGACCTCAGAAGATTATGAGTTAGATCTAATTAAGAACACAGGAGCTGTCACAGGGTCTCTGAAGACACCTGGGGTTCAGTCACACTTCCCAATTTTCCTCTTAATTTTGTGCAGTAATAGAAATAAGAGATGGACCGAACCTTTGTTAACTTTTCTCTTGCATGACAAATTCTTGTCTAGTTTATGACCTGAGTTACAGCTACACAAGCTAACAGATATTGCATCATGATATTTTCAGTTATGTCTGAACATCTATTGCCATTCTGGAAACTGCAAACAATTTCAATCATAAATTAGGGCAGGCAAAATTGAAGGACAAATCAAAGGAAAAAAGGTTGCTAACGTACAGGGAGGGACTAACTGCTCCACCATAGATCTACTGTCTTATGGCACGGACACAGCCAGTAGGACAATCTCCCATTGAAACAGAACAGCATGGAAAAGAGGAGGCGTACAGAGGCGTGCTATAAAGAGGGGTTCAGACTCACTCTGGCTTTTGTATTCTTTCCTTTGCCATTTTGATTTACCTGACTGAAATCAAACAAACATTCAAGTGAGGTGAAATTCTTTGTGGGAAGAGTGGCTCGGGGAGACTCTAACAAGGGGACAGAAAACACAGAAGTGAACTGGAACTGCAGAAAATTATGTTGCACTTCTTGCATTCCCTGCACGCCAGGAAGGTAGGACCTGTGCTGCACTCGAACACGCTGATGCAAAGGGCAGTTTCAAAATCAGCCTAGTGAAGGGGTTCCAGGAACTTTCTTTTTTTATTAGTTTTGACCTCTATTAAAACACAGACCTCCAGTTACCAACCTAAGTCACTGGCAATTGGTTTGCTTTCCTTAATCACCCTTCTAAGACCACTTAGACCCTCAGGCTCTAGACTGTTTCTGAACCAGACTCTTAAACTGTTTTGGTATCTGGCAATACTTGTGTATAATCCTATGCAATTTCAACTAAAGTGCCCACCACAAAGTCCATTCATTTCTGTTCTGTATAGGGTGGTGTTTGTGAGAGCTGTAGGGAGTAAAATAGCATGTTATATGCCCGCAAAAGTTCATCTATCCTAAAGCAGCAGGTGCTTACCAGCTTTGCTATTTGCAAACAACTCTTCAGATTAACTTTAAGCAGATGTTAACAACAGTGTATCTTTACACAAAGAGTATTAAGTGCCATTTGGACTAGCAAAGGCAGTTATTTGCAAGCCGCCTTTCTTCCTCTTTTATTTCAGCTGTTTGCCTTGGTAACAGCTGCTGTTCTCAGTGCTGTGGTGTCTATAGGCAGCACATCAAGTTATGCTGGTAGCCGACTGTTCCCATTAACATGCTGGTGTGGTCATTTTTCCATCGTTTGCAAATAGGCCCCTTGTAAGAATTATCAGGGAATAGATAGCTTCAGCCTTACGTTGTGAAAATGTAACACAAAAATAAGCCATTAACTTTTACCCTGATAGCTTTGTATCACAGTGAACTTGATGTGTGTTAAACCTTGCTCCTGGAGCTTTCTGAAATGCGGGAAATTCTCGGAGTAAAGTCCTATCAAGAACAGAAGATGCAGGCCCTGTGGCCATATAGTAACAGCTCTATAGGGGATGGAACATTGCAGAAATTTCCTTCCAGAGAAAAAAACTGTCTTCAACCTCCAACTAAACCGTGTTCTGCATGGGGTGACAGGAATGGGTTAGGGTTTGCTACTTGCTGGACAGCCCAGAGCCACCTGCAGAGAGCCCCAAGGGCCTCCCGTTGACCGTGGCTCAGTGGCTTCCTCTAGTGACAGTGTCTGAAGCTGCTCGGGGAGCTGGGTTTGAGAAATGCGTATTCCCACTGTGCAGGGGTTTGCAGGATTGCAGTACAGCCTCAAAGTATGTTGTATTTCTACCTTTATCTTGTACAGCTGGCAGAAGGGTGAGGTACTCTTCTTTTTCTCTTTGCTGGCTACCTAGCTGGCTCACTGGAAGAAAGAGGTGACTGTTTACATTGAGGCAGCTGGCTGGTTAAAATTCATCTATGTTGCATCTCACTTAATTCTCTTGAAATTACAGTAATGATGAGTGAAGGCCTTTGCTTCTGAGAAGCTGGGCCTTGATACAGCACGTTTCTCCTAAAGGCTTCCCCTGGAGCACAGGACAACAGCCAGTCTTGTTAAGAGAAATAAAATACTGTTTGTACATAACACAAGTGCTCTGGATGCCATACTACCAGTAATTTTTGGTGGCCGTATGGAGCTTGATGTGCCTTCAGGTCTAAATCCAGCAACTGAGAGACAGTAAGAATTTCTTTTTATGTCTTATCACAGATGTTACTATTTCCTGAGCCATTCTGGCTGAGCAATTCCGGGGGGTTAGCCTTCCATGTCACTGTTACTATATTTGTAGTACTGTAGCATCAAGGAGCCCTAGTCAGAGGCTTGTATCTCTGGGGATATGAGGGACTTACATGCCAGGCCCTGTACAAACACCCGCAGTGTTCCTCTGTGTTTATCCAGCTTTAGGCTGACACAGTGCAGCACTGAAACTGGGAGGGAAGAAAGTTCTGGTAGTAGGAACCTGCTGTGGAGCATTTGAATGAACGCACATTTCTTGTAGCTGCAACGGTCATTTTTACTCATGACAAACATTATAAG